TCAGACGACAACAACAACAACGACGACGACGATGACGACGACAACGCCGGACAAAATTTTTCCCTTAATATACCTTTCCCTTCCATCTTTGATGGTACGGGCAAGGTAATAAAAACGTGATTAGTATCAGCAATAACTTCTAGTACTGCATGGAGAATTGCGTATTATTAGTTGACATCAGCCTGAGACATATCCTTGTCCAGGATTTTTTGAACAATGTATCAAATTTCCGAAAGAATATTCGAATACTAGTTGGGGCATAGACCTTAGAATATGTATTTTAAGGTCTATGGTTGGGGTGAATATGAATTGAAAACTTAGTATCCATATGATCTTTTGAAAAATCAGCTAAACAGTTCACAACCACGATTATGGTGAATTGGCGAATTTTCAACGAAGACAACGGCTCTGGTCATGAGCAGAGTTTGCTGTTTCATGAAGTCAAGATTCTACAATGTTGAACACTACTTTTCGTTCTTGACATTGTGAAATTATTTCGTTTTTTTTGGGAGAAAAAAAAAACCTGAAAAAAATGATTTTGACAAGATAATTTAGAAATTTATATTAAGAATAATTCATAACGAAATGTATTCCATATGCACTCATAAATTATTTTCATAATTACAGATTACACACGAATATTACAGAAAAGAAGATAATTGAAATGGCAAATTTTCTCGATGTTTTAGAAAGTACTCCGCGGGGTATATAGCATGTTCTCACACTAGCATAATTTTGCTCGAGTTCACTCATCACTTTCCCACATGCACAGTGCGTTTGAAAATACCATAATTATATTGTGTGAGTGGCTGGTGAGACTTGTGTCACAACGCGTTCTATTTATTTCCAACGCGCGTTTATTTTGTCATGTCTCGCAACTGAACGTCCAAGCTGAATCTGTTTTGGCTGTGATGATGTGAAACGAATATATAAAATTTTAACATAATCTGTAATGATGTATAATGAATATATAAAATTGAATCATATAATCAGTCAAAGCATGGCAGAGATATGGCACTAAAACTGCATTCATTAAAACAACATAGTTGAATTCTGGTGACCTTGCCCTTTGTTA